CCTGACGGATTCACCCCGATCCTACCCCAAAGCTCCGTTCGCTTCTCCCCCGGCCCCGAGCGGATTCCTGGCTCTGTCTGTCTGGAGCAGCTCCACTTTGGGGTCAGCGTCCCTGCCCGAATTCCCTGAAACCCCGAACTCCCTCGGGATCCTGAGAGTGCCGGAGCAGCTCGGCTTTGGGGTCAGCGTCCCCTGCCCAAATTCCCTGAAACCCCGAGCTCACTCTGGATCTCTGGGAGGCCCCAAAGCAGCTCCACTTTGGGGTCAGTGTTCCCTGCCCTAATTCCCTGAAAACCTGAGCTCCCTCCGGATCCTTGGGAGCCCTGGAGAGCTCCACTTTGGGATCAGCATCCCCTGTCCAAATTCCCTTAAACCCCGCCCGCACCCCAAGCTCCATCCAGATCCTTGGAGGCCTCGGAGCAGCTCCTTTTTGGGGTCAGCATCCCCTGCTCCAATTCCCTGAACTCCCTCTGGCCCCACCCCAAGCTCCCTCTGGATCCTTGGGAGCCCCGGAGCAGCTCCACTTTGGGGTCACTGTCCCCGTCTGGATTCCCTGAACTCCGTCTGGCTCCACCCCGAGCCCCGTCGGGATCCTGGGAGGGCCTGGAGCAGCTTCACTTTGGGGTCAGCCTCCCTTGCCTGAATTCCCTGAAACCCTGAGCTCCGTCCAGATCCTTGGGAGCCCCGGAGAGCTCCACTTTGGGATCAGCATCCCCTGCCCAAATTCCCTCAAACCCCACCCGCACCCCGAGCTCTGTCCAGATCCCTGAGAGCCCTGGAGCAGCTCCTTTTTGGGGTCAGCGTCCCCTGCCCTAATTCCCTGAAACCCCGAGCTCCCTCGGGATCCTTGGGAGCCCCGGAGCCGCTTGGCTTTGGGGTCAACATCCTCTGCCCAAACTCCCTGAAACCCCACCTGCACCCCAGGCTCTGTCCGCATCCTGAGAGCCCCGGATCAGCTCCTTTTTGGGGTCACCGTCCCCGTTCGAATTCCCTGAACTCCCTCCGGCTCCACCCCGAGCTCCGTCGGGATCCTTTGGAGGGCCTGGAGCAGCTCTGCTTTAGGGTCAGCGTCCCCTGCACAAATTCCTTCAAACCCCACCCACACCCCAAGCTCTCTCCAGATCTTTGGGAGCCCTGGAGCAGCTCCGCTTTGGGGTCACTGTCCCCTGTGTGGATTCCCTGAAACCCTGAGCTCACTCTAGATCCACCCCGAGCTCCCTCGGGATCCTGAGAGCCCTGGAGCAGCTCCTTTTTGGGGTCAGTGTCCCTTGCACGAATTCCCTGAAACCCCAAGCTCCCTTGGGATCCTGGGAGGGCCTGGAGCAGCTCCTTTTTGGGGTCAGCATCCCCTGCCCCAATTCCCTGAACTCCCTCCGGCTCCACCCCGATCTCCATCCAGATCCTTGGAGGACCGGATCAGGTTCACTTTGGGGTCAGTGTCCCTTGCCCGAATTCCCTGAAACCCCGAGCTCCGTCTGGCTCCACCCCGAGCTCCGTCTGGATCCCTGAGAGCCCTGGAGCAGCTCCTTTTTGGGGTCACCATCCCTGTCCGAATTCCCTGAACTCCCTCCAGCTCCACCCCGAGCTCCGTCCGGCCCCTGCCCCGTTCCCAGGCGCTGAAGGATCCCAGCTGGGATTGTTTTTTCCATCCCGGTCGTTTCTCCGGCCGCTGTCCAGYCCTGGGCAGCCTCCAGGCCGTCCTTGTGCTTTCCCTGCCCGAGGGAACCTTTGGCAGCCTCTGGAAGTGCCCGGTGCCCTCGGGAATGTCCCATCCCACAGCTCTGCCCTGCACATTTTGGGATTTCAGGG